TTGGGAAAGTTTGAATATCCCACCCAAAAAAGGATTTTGCTCTGGTCTTCTTTCTTGATCAAGGGTAGTTGTGACTTGCAAAGGTACCACTCGCAATGGCACTGGTTGTAATGGCACTGGAAACCAATAGCTGCTTTCATGATGCCTTGGTGTAGTTTCTCCCTGACAATTTCCTACTCGAGCCACTGGTCCTGAGCCCACAACAACAACATTCTGACACAATTGAGCAGTTGCTGAAGCCCCAAATTGAAAAGATACAGGGGTGCAGAGTGTACCAGAGTATCTTGACAATTCATGAGGTTGAGCCTCTCCTTTCTCCACCTCTCTGCCAAGTCCTTTGCGGCCCTATGATCTGAGAATCTCAGTAGGGGATCTCCAAGCATCACTTCCCACTCATGCTACCCATGTCGCTAGACACCCCTCCAAAGACTATCAAGCTCCTCCTCTGACCAGGCACCACCACAAGTTCTATCTAGTGTAAAGCTTGGAGCTGAGTTCTGTGCACTGGAAGCTGAGCACTATTCAAGGGAAATGCTCATATTTATTAACATGAATTTGTGGATAAAACACTGTTAGAAATTGCAACTTAACACAATTACACAATTGAAGTGAAGCTTAAAAGTTCTCTTTCTGATCTTTTCCTGTTTGTGTGTGCTGTAAGGCTGCTTCTGGCAATGTATTTGCCTCTTTGTCACCACCATTCTGCTTTGATACACAGAGAGATACAGGCATCAGCATGGAGTATTATTTGATCTACTGTAATTAAAAAAACCAGAAGCATCAGGCCTTGCTTGCCTGCATAAGGGCATTACAAGCTTCCACTGATTGCTCCGAACCTTCCCTGCAAATTACCAAAAACACAAGCAAACTTCAATGACCACTAGTATCAGAGAACACATCCCACGAAAGTTTTCTGCAGTTTTCCATTATTATTCTTTTTCTGTCAGAGTACATCTTATGTTAAGTAAGAACCAATGCTTCAACAAATAATCACTGCCTTAAGCTTTGGATGCCTAAACTATTTGATTTCTACCTTGGCTTCTCTACACTATTATAATATTAAATACTCACTGATACAAAAAGAAGTATAGAACTCACTAGGAATACCAATAGTAACACAAGGAAACAATTACCTCTATGTGAGAAGTTTGTCAGGTCCTTTTTCAGAACCTTGAGAACCTTTTCCACTTTCCTCTGCAGCCTTTTTCCTTCGGCGTCTCTTATAAACCTTAATTTTTTCTTTCACCAGATTCCACATTCTAAAATAGATAGAATAGAATTGTCTCCTTATCAAGACCAAAAAACAGATTACTAATAATTACTTTCAGGAAACAGCGGTTTAAAGAGCTATTTACCTCTGGTTCAATGAGAGAAACATTATTATTAGACAGTGTAATGTTTTCTCTCAAATCTTCTACTTCATTAACCTGCATTGTAGAATATTTGTAAAAATGGGTACAGACAAAAATCTAAAGACATGAGGGTTGGTTTAGTCCTTGAATACCATTTAAA